AAACTTTTATTACAAATGAATATTTAAGAGATATATACAATAATATATTAATTTAGAAATATGGGTTTTTCCATTTTCTTATTTCATAAAACTCTTTCATAATCCAAATTTTTAATGTATATTTTCGACATCAATGTCTCCATCATTACTAAAGCAACGCACTGAACTCAATATTGTGCAAAATAAATTTTCTTCACTTCTGAGTTCTTTGACAAAACTTAATTTTTCATACTGTTAGTTCAAGGTAACCTTGCTGTTCCTGGCAATTTTATACCCAGTCACATAGGTTTTTGTTGCGACTGTCTTCTCATTTATCTGATAGCTATATTTTCATGATCTCCTTAAACTAACAACTTACATTTCTACTTTTTAAAAGTAATCTTTAAAGATTTGTTTACTACAACTTCCAACGCCAGCCATTATGAATTTCTAGAGTGATGCTAAATTTCTTTATTTCCTCTTTCACAAATTCTATCAGGTACAGTAGTCCCCCTTACCCATAGGATATACATTCCAATGCCCCCAGTGGAGGTCTGAATCCACAGATAACACCAAAACCTATATATACTGTTTTTTCCTATATATACCTATCTATGATAAAGTTTATTTTATAAACCAGACACAGTAAGAGATTAAGAACAATAACTAATAACAAAAGAGAATAATCATAGCAATGCACTGTAATTAAAAAGTCATATTTCTGCTCAGGTCTTCCACCCACAAATTTGATGAGTTTTCCATTTTTCCTAATAAGCAATTATCACACATGGTGTCAGTAACTTTCAGTTTGAAGTGAAACAGCAAAACTAACACAAATGTTTTTTCCTTCTTCACAATTTAATAGAAGATTCATTCTTACTGTGGATCTTAGCAACATCAATATATGATTTTTTTTTCCCTTTCCTCAAGTCTAGAACTTCCACACTTTCACTTAAAGAAAGCACTTTTTGGCTTCTCTTTAGCTATTTAAGTGCTAGCATCAATACTCTTGTACTTTAGGGACATTATTAAGTAAGTTGGGGTTATTTGAACACAGTTCTGATAACTAAGATGGCTACTAAATGACTAAATGGGTGGGTAACACACAGCGTGGATGTGCTGAACAAAAAGATGATTCACATCCCAGGCAGGACTGAGTGGGGCAGATGAGATTTCATCACTCTACTCGAAATGGTGTGCAATTTAAAATTTATAAACTGTTTATTTCCAGAATTTCCTATTTAATATTTTCAGACCATGGTTGACAGTAGGTTACTGAAACCATGGAAAGTAAAATCATAGATACTGGGACTAACGTACTCTATATATGCATAGATATGATTGTTTGAGGTCTTTTTGGAATAATGTGTCTTCTCCAAGCAGTACTTTGTAATTCAAAATAAAGAAATTGAGGGCTTCTCATACTAAGATAGATTTTATAAGAGCCAAAAATAAAGCAACTTCTTTTTATTAAAGGGAAGATTTCAGAAAAATAAAGAATTCCATCTATTCCAGAATGTATAGTACTTTGGCTTTGTAACTTGTTTTGATATCTGGCAAAAAGGATCTTCCTCCTTGTTCCTTCTGAAAATTGTTTTATTATTTGTAAACATTCTTCATCCATATAAATATTTTAATCCTTTTCCAAGTTCTCTTGAAAATCTTGGTAGAATTTTTATTGAAATTGCATTACATTTATAGATTAGTTTTAGGAGAATTGACATCTTTACAATGTTGAGTCTTCCCTCATACATGCATAGTGAGGCGATTTATTGACAATCCTCAAAAACAGTAACTGCCTACATGGCCAGGCAAATTTTTAACTAAAATTTTTCCACCTTAACTTGCAATCCACCCCAAAAAAGTCCATGCATAGTCCTGTATTTTAATTTCTTTGGCTCCCTTTGTAACTGCTTCTATTATACTATATTTTATATTTATTTTAACTGCATTTCAAAACATTATTCTGATACAGAACCTATAGGGTTCACCAGTTTGTTTAAAAAAAAACAGATTAAGGACCCCCATTAAATATTCTCATGATTTACATGTTGTTTCAGAAAAAAAGTAAAAGCGAGTTCCCCAACAACTGCATGAGGCCAATATAACCATAATACTTTCTACTTTTCACTTTCATTAACTCCTCATTATTCTCATTGCACTTCAATATCATTTCCTTGGGCGGTAACACTTAACATCCCTAACTATGTCAAATTCTTCTTTTAAATATTTTCAAAGCACTACAGTATATTGCATTTCCACAGTCCACCCTTTTATTAAGATATATGATTATCTGACTTATGCTTAATACAATCCATGGAGGTTATTTTATCTGTTTCTGCTCTCCTTTTTATCCCATTGACTGGCATAATGCATGGACCATAGCCAATATCTCTATAAGTACTTACCAAATGCTTGAATTAATGAAGAATAAATAAATATGTATTGTGTGTGTTCTATTTAATGTGATGGAGCAAAAACATTAAATTAAGTAAAAATTAAATATGACCCAGTCCTGTCATAAGTAAGAAAGGATAGATAAATATAGACAAGTATATACATGAGATGAATGTAAGCACACTGTAATGCAAGGCAAAATGAAAGAGGACAAAATAAAATTAAAATGATTTAATGTGTATATTAAGAAATTTCTGCAAAGGTTGAATGAACTTACAACTGAAAAAAATGGTTCAATCAATTTCTATGCCTCAAAATTTATGAAAAGTCAAATTTGGAAACATATTTCTATTTATACCTACAATTTCACATGAATCACCCAAATCAAAATTAGTAAATCTTCCTCTTACATTAAAAAACTATGAAATAAAGTCCAAAAACACAGACCTCAAGAAACCTACATTATTATAGCTTTAAATAATCATGAAATGGGATTTATATAGATTATTGTCCAGGAAATGTTAGATTTTTAATTCTATCTGAAAGAATATTTATTTAATTGTTCTGCTACAGAAATGTTTATACAGAATACAAAAAAAGTCCTTCCTTTAACATTTGCAAGTTAAAATAAATACTTGGAATTTAGCTCTCAGAAATAACTTTATCAGATGAATAAATAGAAAGCAAGCAGATAGGAAGTTGTTCTACAAAATGGTAGTCAAAGAGAGAAATAAATGAGATGACTCTGAAAAAAGTCTTAGAATTCTGACCAGAGAAGATAAAGATTCACAAGTAACCTGGTCTGTGGATCAGAAAGATAAAGGAAAGCTTCTAGAATATAACAGAAATCTTCACCATATTAAGAATGTAAGATAAAGAAGGTAACTATTAAGAGAATCTACTAATTCTTAATTTTTAAATCTGTATAAATTACAGAGCAACAGGAATGAATGAGTTATCCAACAAACTTTAATGGAAACAATCTCTATTAATCAATAATTACTGTTTTAAAACATCTGAAAGTACGTCTTTTCTCCAACCATCTTCCTATCTACTTATTCTTTCCTACTTATTACTGAAATAAAGCTCTTTCTTTCCAAATTTGCCTTGATCTTTGTTTGTGCCAATCAAATATCACCTTGTTTCAACATAGATCACTTTTTACAGTTACCAACAAAATGACTATTTAATAGCCATTGTAATCCACTAAATAATAAACCTTAAACTTGTTTAGTCTCTTGTTTTTACCCAAAAACTCACAAACATGATATATGTAACTGGTCATTTAACACTGAGGCAAAGTTGCATCTAACTGTATTTTGCTACTGATTTTACTATTTTATGTTATGATTCAGTGCTTTAGGTAAAAAACTCAGCAAAACAATGACTTTGTATGCCATTTTGATTCAATTTTTGCTAGAGAAAAAATTATTCTATTCCTTGTGACACAGTATTATGTTATAAAAAGATAAAATGTAAAATCAGTTGGCATCCACACAATGCCAATGGTAAAAGACTACACAAGTCAAACAGGTCTTGACTTCAACTAGCTTACATACAGCAACAATTCCAGTTTTAGAACTACCTATCAACTATTAGTAGTATATCACAACATAGTTTTACTTCAGTTGAAACTGAAACAATGACAAAATTTTAAATAAAATGCATACAAGGTAACATAAAGTATGGGGAGATTATTCTCATGGTAAAAGTGAATGTTTTTCTATTTCATTTAAGGGCTCCTGGTAGTTATTTGCATTCTCTTCTAGTGATCATGTCCTTCTCAATCTGCCCATTCCTACAACCAAACCATCTTCTCTGTAAACACAACTCGTACTTTAAAAAGCACAGAGGCTGGGTGGTAAGAGTATTTCTGAGTAAGATGGATGTTTTCATCAGGAGACTAGAATTTAAATATACACAGTCTTTCTCACATTTTCAGTTACTTTCAATTCACAACATAAATAATACTGCCTGCACAAAGTAAAAAAGATTCAAGTGTGAACAATTTCTTAAATAGTAACAAAAATAAATGGAATGGACATTTTTTAAATGTTTCAGGCCAACATGAGAATAAACTGCTGCTTTCCCAAATGATGATACACCATCCTAGTGAAATGTTCAGTGAGAAGAGGACCAGTAGTCAAGAAAGTTTAGTAAATATTGTATGTTCTAACACCTTTGGAACACATTTAGAAACTCAGAAGTATTACAATAAAGAACACTGCTTAACCTTTTTTAAAATAATCTTTCCAAAACTATTGACCAGATATTGAATTTGGGAATTAACACCTCTTAATGTCTTCTGGAATTATTTTTGAAAGAAATACACTTTGAAGTATATTGCATTATTGGAGAAAGATATTTTATTGCATAAATATATTTTACATTATTTATATGAAAACTAAGGGGGAGAGTTATTTCTTTGTTTTTACCACCCTATAAATTACCCTTGTACTCTTTTTAGATTTCTATGGGACAATTACAGATTAAAGTACCAAACTCGTAACCTAACAATTTTCATTTCTATGGGATAGTATTCCAAGGGCAGTATTTTAAACATACTCTTTTGCATGTTATACTATCAGAGATAATATTTAGTCTATACAGATCAGCTTACTTACGTCTGGGGCTCCTTTTCATTTTGTTGTTTTTGCTGGGGCTGAAGAACGTTATTTACCAGTTCAGTGATCCCACTAAAGGGAAACCACCTGTTTAAATAAGCAAATAATGTGACTGAATAACCAAATGAATAACAGTGTATGTCAAATGTTTTCTTATTGATAATAATAAAAATACACAGGCACAAAAGCTACAGCCAATGGAAATGTGAGCTCCAATTATCATCCAGGCAGTCAGAATGTAGGGAAATTAAGTTTGAACACTTAACCAGTCCAAAAGCAGGCAGCAAAAAACTACATCCAGTCATTATGTGGATGAAGTAAGAAACTGCAGGCAGCTCTCTTACAAGCCAGAGAGTCAGAAAGCAGAAGACACACTAGTTGCAGCCTATCCAGTATTAGAGTAAGCTAATACCATCCAAGGTGCAGAAAGCAGAGTACGGCAAAGGTACAGAAGTCAAGCCTACTGCACTCAATACATTTACTTACTGTGTCGGTTGTGGTTTGTGTTCTTCTTTGACCCTAAAAAGATAAGTTTGCACAACTGAGTGCATTATACTAGCAAGAAATGTCTATCTACAGACTTGTGGTCATATAAAAATGAAAACTGAGGTGTGTTACATGGAAAAGCTTAGTGCTTTGCGATATATTGGAATTATACAATTGAATTAATTCGGCACAAGAAAAAAGAGAAGCTGAATCATTTACTCTTAATAGAGAACTAATATTAAAACTCTACTGCTGTTTTAAATGATTTCATGATTTAATCAAGTTTTCTGTATATTTTTATTGATATTAATATTGATGCTTTTAAAATAATTATTCTAAGGTACCACATTAAACACAGTTCCATTTGGTTTACTGAAGATAAATAGATTTCCTCTTTATTTTTAAAATTTCTTCATTAATATAAATCGAAGCAAAGGCATAATATTTTAAATAAAATGTAAGGTTTTATAAATGTATTTTTAAAGCCTTACAAATGACTATATTTACTGCTTAAAGGAACAGTTAAAGGAAATTAAAATATAATCAACTCAGTGCTTCACTGAAAGAGCACTAAATATTTAAAAGGTGAAGATCATACACAAGCGTAGTGATGCACCTGAAATTTGGCTTTCCACGCTTTGCTTAGGACTGGTCCTGAGAGGTAAACCTGGGACCCAGTGGTGAATTGATTAGCTTTTACTTTCCCAAAGAAAGACTAAGAATTTGTAACTAAAACTGGTCACCAAAATCTAGGACTCTCTTTAGGAAGTTATATTAATACTACAAATTAAATTCTCTTTACATCAAATTGATTTTCTTTTCCAATGTATTCTTATTTTTAATGATTTAAGTAATAAATGAAAAGCTATAGCCTTATTCATCTTTGTGTTCCAATGAATAACTATATCTCTATATTAACTCCCAAAAAATCCTGTTCTCTACATATACTTCAAAAAGTGTAATATTTTTAGCCTAAAGCCAAAGCCATTTCATATGTAAATAATTATATAATGGATTAGTACAAAAAGTTATATTTTACACCAAATATAATATTAACAAACACTAGTAAACTATAGTGACATTGGATTCTATCTAGAGAAGTTATCATTGTATTTCTTTGAGAATAAGACAAAAAATTTCTTAACATTTTAGAACAAAAGTTCTCTCCCATATAGATAATGACAAAGGAAGATTATCATACCAGTTCATCAAAATAAAGAATTCAAGTTTACCCTACCTCAAATAAATGTGTAAATGATATTTGTGTTTTAAAAATCCTGAGTGAGGATTTTTTAGAAATCAGTTTTCCATTTCAAACCTTTACTTGAAAAAATTAATAGACATAAAAATTTTGATTACCAATTCAGGAATTATTTCTGGGCTTTGTAAAATATCTACTCATAAAATATGCAAACAGTTGCATCAGCTTCCTAAATAAAATATGTACCATAATATGGCAGTATAAACATTTATCCTGTCTTTAACTGAAATCACAAGTGTAAAATTATTCTCCATTTTTCCAATATTTTAGATAAAATCAAACCTCAAAGTATCTGACCATAGTTAAAATTAATGTTCCGATAATAACTTGAAAACTGGTAATATGAAGATGTACTTCTTTGACAATACACTAACATTATTGGGGCAGGGGGTGGTCAAATCATTTTACTGAGGATCAAAGGGCTGGGAGGACAAGATCTCATGTGCTCAGCCCCACAGGGATCTCCCTAGCTTCACAGAAAGAATAAACTAACATTATTGACAACGAATGCCTATATTTCTGCATTCCAATAAGTGTGTAAGAGAAGCCTAGCTTCCAGACTGATACATAAAGAGCTTGGAAATCATTACTCCCATCCTTACAAAGAAAAAGCTGAACAAACTGAAAAATCAATAATTCTTAAAGCCATAACGAATGTAAGTCACAGGACAAAGTGCTGCCCTGAAAGCTATAGAAACAAACAAGCAGAGTCTCACAATTTACCGAGTACAGGACCAGAAAAAGAAGCCCACACACCTGGAGCCACTATCTGCAGGAACACGTTTAACTATAATTGACCGATTGATGTAGACTCAGTGTAAACTAGATGGAGTGTTTAAAATTCCATGGTGTCTGAGTCTTAGGCACATCCATAAATTTTACCTCCTGGAGCCCCTACCAGTTGCTCACTGAAAAGGTCAGATAAAAATCTCCAGTAGGAGGAAGGGAAAATAACCAACTTTGAAATACTCCCAGAGCTCCCTACTCTCCTAAAAATCTTAGAATCAAGGGAAAATACTTTACCAGCGTCTAACCAACTAGGGTTACATCAAAACCAAACAAGCCCAAATAAGGTGACTACCCAATTACATATCCCTCTAATTATCAATGTGGGGGAGAAAAAAATACCAAACTACAACCCCCTATAGCCTTCTACATGGGGGGAAGGGAAATACCCAACTCAAGCTCACTGAAAGACTGAGACCTAATTATAGGATTATTGAATGCTTCTCCTGTGTCAACGCCTTACCACCACCATCAGTAGAGATCCTGAATAATAATGGGGGATTACAACTAAAAGAACTGCAAGTTTTAGACACTATTTAGTAAGGAATCTCTCAGGAAACACAAAATAGAACAACAAAAATAAAGACAATGAAGACAGTATTCTGGAAAGTTGACTGAGTAAAAAGAAGCAGAAATTTGTCTCCCCACTTAGAAAATGGCAGAATCTGTCTGATGTAACTATTTGGAAATCTGGAGTCTGCTGAAGATTTTCAACTTCAGGAAAAGGCTTGAACTGTGCATTGCAAATAGTTTTGGTTAATTTGAGATTTAGCATGCTAGCAGCTACCCATCCTCTACCCCTGGCCCTGTGGCAGGTAGTTGTGCACCTACTCCTGCAGCAACCTGCACAAAACTTACAGGAGCCAGGGAAAGTTAAAAGGACCCTGTCCTCCAACGGAAAACAACAAAACCTGGTGAAGGTGAAGAATGATTTCCCAAGTTACTAAACAATTAGATTCAAATGTCCAGTTTTCAACAACAAAAATCACAAGGCATACAATGAAACAAGAAAGGACATTCCAAACACAGAAAAAAAGAATCAACAAAATAGTGTTCTTAAATTAAAAACCTGATGGCAGATTTATTAGACAAAGACTTTAAAACAATCATCTTAAACATACTCCAGGAATTAAAAAATAGAGGGAAAAGTCAAGAAAATTTATGAACAAATAAAAATATAGATAAAGGTATATAAAACCTAAAAAAGAAAAAAAGAATTCTGGAGCTCAAAAGTATAACTGACATGAAAAATTCACTAGAGGGATTCAAAAGCAGATTTGAGAAGGGATAAGAACTCAGCAAACTTGAAGATGTAACAATGGAAATTATCGAATCTGAGAAACATAAAAAAAATTTCAGAAAAATGAAGACTCAAAGGGGCCTGTGGGACACTAACAAGTGAACCAACACTGGCTTGATATGGGAATCCCAGAAGGAGAGAGCGAAAGAGAAAGCAGAGGGAATATTGGAAAAAATAAAGACTGAAAACTTTCTAAATTTGATAAAAGACCTGAATACAAATATTTAAGAAGATCAACAAATGTCAGCATGAAATCACCCACACAGACATAATAAACCAATTAAATATAACAAATATATGCAGAATACTCTATTCAACAAGAAGAATATACTTATTTTTCTCAACTGCACCTGAGAAATTTTCCAGGGCAAACCATATGTTATGCCACAAGTTAAACCTCCACAGATTTTAAAATATAGAAATCATATAAAGTATCTTTTCTGTCCACAAACAGATGAAATAAGAAATAGATAATAAAAAGAAAACCAGAAAACTCATAAATTTATAAAAATTAAATTACACTCTTTTAAAGACAATGGATCAAAGAAGAAAACAAAAAAAAATCAGAAACAAATGAAAACAAAAATAATAGTCTACTAAAACTATGGGATGTATCTAAAGCAGGGCTACACAAGAAATTTATAGCTACAAACACACTGAAAAACAAGAAAGATTTCATATCAACAACCTGTCTTTAAACTTAGGAAACCAGGGGTGGGGTAGGGGGTAATTAACCCAAACCCAACAGAAAAAAGGAATAAAGATTAGAGCAGAAATAAATGAAATAGAGAGGAGAAAATCAATGGTTCTTTGAAAAGATCAACTAAATTGACAAACAGTTAAATGGATAAAGAAAAAAGAATATTCAAATTACTAAAGTCATAAACAAAAGTGGGGATGTTACTACTATTCTACAGAAATTTTTAAAATGTTAGAGTACTACTAACAATTGTATGCCAGCAAATTAGACAACCTATATTAAGTGGACAAATTCCTAGAAACACAAAACTCACCAAGAAATCATAAAGAAATAAAAATATCAATAGACCTGTAACTAGTAAGTAGGTTGAATCATTAATCAAAAATATCCTAACAAAGAAAGCCATAAACCTGATGTCTTCACTGGTAAATTATATTAAATCTTTAAAGATGAACTAATACTAATACTTCTTTAGCTCGTCCCAAAAATTCAAGGACAAACACTTCCTAATCCATTCTTTGAGACTACCATTACCATACCAAAGCCAAAAAAAGACAGTATAACAAAACTACAAATAAATATCCAAATAGTACACAAAGTGACCTACAGATTCAATTCATTTGCTATCAAATCCCAATGGTTTTTTGCAAAAATACAAAAACTCATCCTAAATTCACATGGAATCTCAAAGGACCTCAAACAATCAAAACTGTATTGAAATGGTGAAACGAAGCTTGAGGGCACACACTTCCTGATTCCAAAAATTACTACAAAGCTAGAGTAATCAGTGTGGTACTATCATAAAAACAGACACAGACAAATGGCATAGAATACACCCCAAAAATGAACCTTCACATATAAAGTCAAATGTTTTTTGTCAAGGCTTCCAAGATCATTACATGGGGAAAGGACCACCTTTTCAACACATGGGAAAACTGGATATCCACATGCAGAAGAATGAAGTTGAACTCTCACTTAACACTGTA